AGGTTCCCCCTTGTGGCAGTCTGAGTCTGAAGGCATTGCTCTCAGAGTGGAAATGTCCTTGGTTGCCGCACTTACTTACCTCTGTGCACATCCCTTGGTTTCCTAACCTAGTTAAAAGAGCATGACTATCTGAAAGAGTGGCTAGGGAGTGCATTCACTATGTGCACAGCCATTTGTCCAGGTAGAAAATTTCCTATGGAAGAAAGGAGTAGTGATAATGAATAAGCAAAAGTGTGGAATCTATAGAGTCCATTATGATTATTTTCCATCATTTTCCCATTATTTTACATTATCCATTATTTTACAAATATATGTTCCATTTTCCCTTTCTGGAGTTGTGAAAGTTAAATTTCTTCTTGGTGTGTATATGTCATTGATAATAACTGAACTGCATCTTCTTCATCATGGTCTTTCTCAATCTCTCTCCCTTGTCTTCATCAACTAAAGTTAAAATTATAATCCAGCGAGAAACAGCCTAAGGCCACTGGGTAGTGTTGGGTGCTGCTGATCTTCATGGAGCACACTCTGGGACACATAATCAGAGGCTAACTCCCAGAAAAATTATAGATTGTGACAGAGGCAGGAGGAAGCTGCTACTCATGCCAGTGTTTTTCCCCCATCAATGGAAGTTCTGCTTTCTACAACATTTTCTCACTACTGCCACTTCCTGACCTCCCAGGGAATTCATGGAACAACTCAGGGATTTGCTACATCTATATGAGGATTCTGAATTAGACTGTATAACATCTATTAAGAAAAGTATGCAAAAGAAAATAGAAGCATATGAAGAAAATATAAACACCAGTCAAAGCCATTAACCTTCTACCATATCAAGCAGAATGGGGAGAAAATATATTGCCATACATTTCTCCTAGTTTGTGTATAAATATTCTGAGCAATAAGGGCTGAGCTACATAAACTTTTTTTAGCTTCTTCGTGCTAAAAATTGAGGTTGAAGAAGCTAACTCTTTATTTCTGATAGAGACTTTTATTTATTTATTTGTTTATTTATTTATTTATTTATTTTGCTTCTGTACCCTTACTATCAATTAAATCACAGGTTCACAAATTCTTAGTATATTGAGGCTGATGGTATTGCCTTCAAGGATAATAACAGCCACATTTGGAGAACTTATAATTTGGGGCCCTTCTTTGTTTTTCTCCAACCTACCCCTTTGGCATCTCTCTCCCATTTTCAGATCTTATACAGTTGGATATTTGGAACCAAGCCATTTTCTTGCCACACATTTTTATACTTAAAAGGAATTAGGGGGTAGGAGGTGGAGCTCAGTGATAGAGAGCTTGCCCAGCCTGTGTGAGGCTCTGAGTTTGGATAAACCAGCACTACAACAACAACAAGGACAAAAAAAAGAAAGAAAGAAAGAAAAGAAAAGAATTAATCATCTTGAAGTAATTTATAAATTTTATAAATTAAAATATGGACAGAGGATGATAAGTAATGTCTAACTTTAAGGAATTTTTGTTGTTGTTGTTTCTTACATCATAAGCTTTTTTTAAATTTTTATTATTGGTTGTTCAAAACATTACGAAGATCTTGACATATCATATTTCATACATTTGATTCAAGTGGGTTATGAACTCCCATTTTTACCTCGTATACAGATTGCAGAATCACATCAGTTACACATCCACTGTTTTACATATTACCATATTAGTGTCTGATGTGTTCTGCTGCCTTTCCTATCCTCTGCTATCCCCCCTCCCCTTCCCTCCCCTCCAATCTTCTCTCTCTACCCCATCTACTGTAATTCATTTCTCCCCCTTGTTTTTTCCCTTTCCCCTCACTTCCTCTTATATGTAATTTTGTATAACAATGAGGGTCTCCTTCCATTTCCATGCAATTTCCCTTCTCTCTACCTTTCCCTCCCACCTCTCGTCCCTGTTTAATGTTAATCTTCTTCTCATGCTCTTCCTCCCCACTGTGTTCTTAGTTACTCTCCTTATATCAAAGAAGACATTTGGCATTTGTTTTTTAGGGATTGGCTAGCTTCACTTAGCATAATCTGCTCTAATGCCATCCATTTCCCTGCAAATTCCATGATTTTGTCATTTTTTAGTGCAGAGTAATACTCCATTGTGTATAAATGCCACATTTTTTTTATCCATTCATCTATTGAAGGGCATCTAGGTTGGTTCCACAGTCTAGCTATTGTGAATTGTGCTGCTATGAACATCCATGTAGCAGTATCCCTATAGTATGCTCTTTTTAGGTCTTTAGGGAATGGGACTGCAAATTGGTGCAGCCAATTTGGAAAGCAGTATGGAGATTCCTTGGAAAGCTGGGAATGGAACCACCATTTGACCCAGCTATTCCCCTTCTCGGTCTATTCCCTAAAGACCTAAAAAGAGTAAACTAAGGAATTTCTTGAGGGAAAAATATATATGTGCTAAACAATATTGTAGAAGTCAGCCTAGAACAATGATAAATGAATAAAAGAGTTATAAAATGAGTTCCAAATCGAAGGAGCTTACATTCTACAAAAGGGCAACAGCCAGTACATAAACAAATGTGTATTTATGTGTTTGTTTATGTAATATGTATGGTGGTGAATGATTAATGCTGAGATGGAGAAGCAAGGGATGCCTGACTGAGTGCTAGTTTAAATGGATCTATCAGGGAACCCTCTGTTAGTGGCATTGTGTAATCTCTGAAAGAATGAAGGAACAATTGGACATTCAAGGAAGTCATTTTTCAGGAAGTGGGAACAGCAGATGAAACACCCTGACACAATAATGTGTTTGCCATGTTCAAGGGACATCTCACAGCCCAGTGTACCCTAAGCAAAGGAGATGTGGTAGTGAGATCTGAAAATACAAGGGGAGGAAATCATGTAGGCAAAGTAAAAGTCTTAACTTTTTATTAAGGACTGTGGGGAGCAATAAGAACTCGGATGATCTAACTTACATCTATAAAATTGGCTTTGACTGCTCTGTCATTTTTATGGAAACAGAGCAAGCAAGGCACAGAGACCAGCCAGGCTATTGTGTTCATTTAGGTGAGAGATGGTGATAATTTCAACCACAGCCATAGGTATGAAAATGTTTAGACATATTCAGATTCTGAATATATTTTGCAAGTAAAAGTGAGAGAATTTGCCATTTGAATTGAATTAGTTGTAAGAGAAAATAGAGGACTTAGGGAAGGACTCCATGATTCGGGGCATAGGTAGCACTAATTAAGGTGTGGCCACTGACAAAAATGAAAATGCAAAACAGATCTGAATTGGAAAGAAAATCATTTCTTTTTTGTATTGGATATGTTCAGTTTTACATCCAAAGTACACAAGGTAAGTTGTGCACGTGAGAGTAAGGGGAGGTGCTATGAGTGGAAGGCTGTAGATATAATTCGGAAGTCCTCAGAGTAGAGAGGATATTAAAGCCATAGAACCAGAAGAGATTGCCTATGGATGTCATATGAATAGAGGAGATAAATTTCCTAATAACTTAGCCCAAGTGTTCTCCAGGATTAAGTGGCTGGGAAAATGAGGAGGTACCACTAGTAGAGAAGAATGAGGAACTGATGTGAGTTCAAAGACCCATAAGAGAGATCTGAAAGCAAATAAAGTGTTTGAAGGAGGACATATCGATGGTCTAAAATGATGTTAAAATAAAAGGAGGATCGAGTCTTGGTCATTGGATTTGAAAAGATCACCATCTTGACAAGAGCTGTTTTCGTGAAGCAGTGGCCTGATTGGGTGTATTGAAAAGCACAAGGAGGGGTTTATAGCGGCGTAATTCACAACAGCCAACTTATGGAACCAATTTAGCAATCCATTAACAGATGATTGGATGAAGAAAATGTGGTGTATATACAAAATGAGGTTTTGACGCAATCCTTAAAGAAAAATGAAATAATGTCATTTGTAGGAAAATGGATAGAACTTGAAAACATCCTGCTAAGTGAGATACGCCAGATTCAAAAAGTCAAGGGTTGAATACTCCTATATGTGGAAACTAGAGAGAAAAATGGAAACACAAGGAACTTCATGAAAATAGAAGAGACCAGTAGAGTAGAGGAAGGAGATCAAGAGTGGGAGATAGGGAGGGAAAAGGAAGGTTCTAGGGAATGAAGTACACCAATGTATGCAATGTGCATGTATGAATTATCATAATGAATACCATTATATATATATATATATATATATATATATATATAATGCATCAATAAAAATGCTTAAAAAACATATGGAGAGGAGTCAGTAAAAAGAATGAATAATTATATATTTTTAAGAAAACGTCTATGAAGGGCTACTCAGAAAGGACTAATCACAAGACAGAGATATGTGGATGAGGGAGGGTTTTTAAGGAAGGAAAATACACAAGATGTTTGAATACTATTAGGAATGAGGCCTTCAAAGGGGAAAACTGATGCTGTAGTATGAAGTGAGGAAAATCATAGAGCAGGGGCATTAAGTATCCTTCAAGTGTGAAATAGAGGGAACAACACATTTTTTGATAATTATTTAAATGTGGAAGTATCTAGCAAAATACTGATTGAAAAGAATAGTTTATATTTGGGGGCACTGCTTGACTGCTGTGGAAGGGTTGGAGGGGAGTATAAATACAGTTTCCTTGTTTGGAAGTGAAGATGCATATTTCTTAAGGTAACAGCATCAAAAACCATAAACAATTGACAACATTGTCAACTTATATAGCACTTTTTCTTGAAAATAGACCTTTTATAACTTTCCTCTTGACAAATTTTGAAGCATTATACTTGTGTTTTATGGGAAATTTGATTTATCAAATTGGATGATAGAGGTAAAGAAGTACTGAAGCAGCATGAAAAAAATCATAGCACTTCTTACCAATAAACTGTATTTTTCATACTGAATGTTTCTTTAGGATTGTATTTTATGCCTAGAGGTTCCAGGGGTGTTACCTTAGCACACATTTTTTTTACTTCAAATTCCATAGGAGTTTCTGGGTTGATTCCTCCTTATTACAGTAACATTGATTGCTGTCTAAATCTGTTGCAGTGTGCCTGAATACTATGACTACGGTCATGGAGTAAGTGAGGATGCCTATGACAGCTACGGTAAGACCTTTTTTTTACTAAAAGCATGAAATCCGAACATTCATCAGTCACTGACAACTCAGAAATTACTTATATCTTTCTCCCCCCAGTTTTCACACAAGTCCAGGCTAAATTGATTTATGTGATTCCAGGGTGAGATTTGACTTACAGAGCCAGTGCCAGAAAATTGGACAGATCAATTTTGATCAAAATTTCAAAAGCAATTAATCACAATCATAGATCACTTTCAACAGCCACAGTGAGCCTTCAGAATCGTGTCTTATGTGTTTCCATGTGCTATTGTCTGATTCACTGATTTGGCAACAATTATATGGTTTTTTTTTTTCTACTGTCACAAAGATCATCAGAGCAGAGTACATTTAAATATTTAAGACTTTTAAGGGCAGAATTGTGACTATAAAATAACTTTTAAATTACTTTTCTAGCATGCATAGCTTTTGAAAGTGCCAATGCTTGGCTTATAAGAATCAATAATCAATAAGCATGTTGGTCTATAAAATTAATTAATTTCAAAAATGAATTCTTTAATTAAAAATGTCACTTGAAATTAATCATAATCCTATTCAGTAAAGGTTTATTGAGTGCCTTTGATGTATCAATACAGTGGATCATTTTTGAGAGTTAGTATCTGGTTTTTTAAAATGCATACCATGTTAGCAGTTGACCACCTTGAAAAATGACACTCATTTAAATGTTTACAGTCTTGGATTTTTATAAAAAATTATGCCAAGGGCAATCTGTTCCTCTTTATGGGGAGCAATAAAGAACATGATAAATGTTGCCTCTGTGTTCGGGGCTCAGTGGTGAAGGTGTAGTGCTGCATCAGGATGGAGAAAGGAAGGTGCAGCCTTCTGGAGGAAGGAGGAAGTATGTCCTCCTGAGAACCAGGGTCGTAAGCTGACTTAGATCAGGCCAAACCCAGAAATAAAAGAAAAAATTAACCATCACCACCACCATCACCAGTCACAAGCTGTCCATCCCCTGCATTTACTTATTTATAATAAGTTGTCATAATATTATCTCATTTTTATGAGGAAACGAAAAGACAAGGTGAAGTCAATGTGAGAGTATAGCTATGAGGCTCAGCTTCTGTGTTTATATTCTTATCAATGGCTAGTATGCTGTTCATCACTGCTAACACATATGGAGAACATTACAGCTCTAAATTTAGCAATTTATAATGAGGATTAGAAATTACAGAGGGGTAGAGAATAGTTCAGTGGTAGAGCACTTGCCTAGCCTGCCTAGGCCCTGGGTTCAAACCCTAGTATTGCCCCTAACACCCTACCCCCACCCCATAAAAAGAAAGTCTAGGTATGTTTAGATAATCTAATCCTTTGTTTAATCCTGTAGGGAACATCCTCCTGTTATAATCTTCATTTTTTTTTCGATGAGGAACTAAGGCTCACAGTTTTAAGTAACTTGCCTCAATTAAACAATTAGGTGACAAAGCAAGAGGTTGAGTTCAAAGTGTCTGATTGCTTTTTAGTTTTGTTTTGTTGGGTTTTGTTTCATTTGTTTTTGTCCAAAACCATTTCAGTGGATTGTGAGGAAAAGAACAGGGTCTGGTGCTTTAAATCCAAGTTTTTTAAAACAAATGTTCAGCTTAGTGATATAGCTCTAAATCTTGTCAGCTACTGTTTCTCTACTCTATGGGGAGGGAGGTGTTTTATACTATTTTCCAAAGAGAGAGAGAATCTAAGATGAGTACCCGGCCTACTCTCCCAAGCTTCTCTAACACCAATCAAACTGACCTAAGCTTTTGCTGCTGTAGGACATAGCACTATTTTCTAAAACATATTAAGCATATTTTCACAAGCTATTTCACAAAAAAAATAAGTGATGGACAAGTTTGAACAAGTCTGGCCTAGTTGGTGAGCTGCCATAGAAAGTATAACTTTAATTTTGTTCTTTATATATTTTTCACTCTTTGGAAGGAAGGAGTCAAAGGCATCAGATGGTGCTTAATAAAAACACTAACATCCAAAACCCAGGCCTTATCCAAGGCTACACTAGTAACCAGCCAGGCTGAGGTGTAAGATTGCCTATTGTCCCAGGGCTCTCTGAATTTCACACAGTAATAACTATCCTCCTGTTGTTCCAAGTGTATTTTATCATGAAACAATCAGGCTGCTTGCTTGTTCATTTAGTTACTGAGGGTGGTTGATGGATAAGTCACAATCTGGGCCTTTCTCTAATTCATTGACCTTTTTGTGTATACATCAGGCTCAGGAATATGATGGTGTAGATTTAGACACTGCCCCTTCTTGATATTGAAAAACATATGGCCACATATACATTGCACCAGGTTCTAAATTATGTGAGTTTAGAATCTAGAGTTAAGAAAACAAGAATTCTAAACTTTTATAGTTCTCTTCAAGGTTCGAGAATATTATTCATTTTACAAATTGTTATTTAATGGATAACGTGCAAAACATTGTTCTCAGTTCTAGACATATAGCAAACGCTCTCTTGAAGCTTGCCATTTAATGAGATACATTATTATTTAAAAGTAACTTTTCAAAAATGGAATTTTATTTTTAAAATTATAGTCATTAGTCTTTATATTTGTTATAACAGTGGAGGAAAATTACTCTCATGAGCTTTCCTTTCATAATTAATGCACTGAAATCAATGGTAGGGATGAATTTAATGATATCTAGTAATTCATGATAAAAGATGAAATTTTTGTTTCTCATTTACATTTTGAAATATGTACACTATATAAGGCAATAGGGAGAATTTACCATGTTTTACTGTTATTGAGTAAGCATAAGGTCAAGCATATACTTCATATTCAAGATGTTTTTCTCTGTTCAAAATGTTGGTATTTTTGGAAAATATCTGGAAAGTGTTTCTTAATTTTCATGTCAGAAGGATGATCATTCAAGACAATTTAATGGCTTATATTGTTGAGGTTGAAGGATGATTTTCCAGGGGCTGAGCCAAAGAAATCTGAACAACAAATTGCTACCTTTATCATGGTGCAGCTCTCATAGAAAGGAATGGTATGTATGTATGTGTGCCAGCAACCCAAAGCCCAACCCATTTCCCTGTGATCCTCTAGGCTCTTTGTGGCCCATCTGAGTACATACTGTACTTCATAACAGGGGTTTAACACTGTGAACAAAAGCATCTGAGTGTGTTTTTGTTTTATTTTTAGCAATTGCTTCTGAATTCATTTTTACCACAGATGTTTAGAAATATAAACAGATATGTAGGTCTCAATAAGCTAAAATAAGTCTTTTTTTCTTACTCTAAAAATATGCACATATGATATATAAAATGCAAGTAAACACAAAGAAGAAAATTTAAATCATCTTGAATTATACTCCTGTATTTATCAATTCTGTACTTTTTGTTATATATTTTTCCAATAGTCTTACTCTATCAATATAAATATTTTATTTTAAAAAGATAATACAATGTAGACTGTTTTGTTAAATTTTTGAAGATTTTCTTATCATAGAATATAGAAAATGTGTTTCTACTTCTGAATCATGTAATATAGAATTAACTATTAATATGTTCATTTGAGAGGTGAGACACCTCATTTTTGCATAACCAAAAATTAAGTACTTTTGTGTCAAACTATATGATCATGATATTTAAATTCTGAGAATTCTCATGTTCTCACATCTGATATATACAGAGCAAGGACCAAGTTAAATGACTTGAAAAATAGTCAGTGATCAGCATCAAAAATTTGAAGCCCAATTTATATGCATTCTGAACAGTAGGGTTTTGGTGTTGGATGTTGTGTAGTGGTAATTAGATATTAAGTAGTTGGTGGTAGGTTGCTTATCCTATGATATCCAAATGGGCAAATGGTAAGATTTAAACAAATATGTGGAGCAGTGATTTGAGAACCCACTAAAGCTAAATATAGATTTTTATAGTTTTTTTCTGTAATTGTGGCATATCTTCTATTTTAACTTGTATCCATTTATCTTTTATTTAATGAACCATACACAATCTTTTACATCATTGTTTATTCCTAAATGAAAATCTTGTATCTTCACTTCCTTGTTTACTTTCATTCTGAATTAGTAACTTCTCCCTGATTATTGATTATATCATAGGTATACATATTAAATTCCAGTGGAGTATCTTTACTTATGCAACTGCCCACATTTGAACAGTTATGTGGGAAGATTCAAGTCAGTCAGTTTGGGTTCCTTCTTCTCCTGCTCAAATTTGTAGAAAGAACAGGAAGCCCTGAAAGAGGAAGCAGGAGCACTCTACAGGAAGAATAGCAGGGTCTTATAGTCAACAGATTCACAAGTAGAATCTCTCCTTTATACTGCCTTCAGAAATGGTTTGAAATAAAGTCAACAGTCCTTCAAGATGACACTTCATTTCGAATCTTAATACATTGCAAATTTATTTGTTTGTTGAGACAGGGTCTCCCTATGTTGGCAGTTCTGATCTCAAACTTGTGAGTTAATTGATCCCCTTGCCTCAGCCTCCCAAGTAGCTGGGTCTACAGGGGTACACGCCTTCCCAGGCTTGAGCCTTACTACATATGTATTTTGTGAATTGAAACATTGAAATTGTATTTGTCTCTTTGGGGCCTATGTTTCATTGTCTAAGTAACAAATATGTGACTTCAAGAAAATCACATATCCTCTTGAGCTTTGTCACAAATTAAGATATCTGCATATAATATTAAATGTTAAACTTTTATGCAACAATTGAAGTAAAATTAAAATATTTAATATAAGTAAATATTAAAAGATAACTATTGTGAATATTATTTGATATGTAATGTGTTAATATATATTAAACAGGTAATTAATATTAAATACATTTTTATTAAATTAAAATTCAAATATTATATTTCTGATCATTGAAATTTATTTTTAAAATGTAAATATTTGACTTACAGGAATTCCAAGTCAGTTTCTGCATTTTAAAATATTTCCTAACTTATCAGAGTTATGAAAATTGTTTTAGATAAATCTGAATAGCTCATAATTCAATAAGAATGCATTTTAAAT